AAAAAAAAAATTAAAAAAAAAAACTTATTTTTATTTTGAGAGACAGAATGCACACGTGTGGGGGGGAGGGGCAGAAGGAGAGCGAGAATCTCAGGCAGGTTCCACGCTCAGCACAGAGCCCAATGTAGGGCTCGATGCCATGATGCTGGGATCATGACCTGAGCCCAAATCAAGAGCTGGATGCAGGGCGCCTGGGTGGCTCAGTCGGTTGAGCGTACGACTTTGGCTCAGGTCATGATCTCACGGTTTGTGAGTCCGAGCCCTGTGTCGGGCTCTGTGGTGACAGCTCGGAGCCTGGAGCCTGCTTCGGAATCTGTGTCTCCTTCTCTCTCTGCCCCTCCCCAACTTGTGCTTTGTCTCTCTCGGTCTCTCAAAAAATAAATAAATGTAAAAAAAAGTTAAAAAAAAGAGTTGGATGCTCAACCGACTGAGCCACCCAGGTGCCTGTTTTTAAAAATATTTTACAAGAGCACACTTTACATACTGTATGTTAGCCAATTTGACAATAAATTATATTAACAAAATAAAATATTTTAAAGTACTTCCTTAATTTTCTGGCATAATGCTCTTAGGCTTACTTTAGTTTTTTATTTTATTTCCTTACTATTTTTAAGGTTTTATTTAATTTTTTTTTGGATGTTTATTTATTTTTGAGAGAGACAGAGACAGAATGCGAGTGGGTTGGAGCAGAGAGAGAGGAACAGAATCTGAAGCAGGCTGCAGATTCCGAGCTATCAGCACAGAGCCTGACGCGGGGCTTGAACTAAGGAGCTGTGAGATCATGACCTGAGCTGAAGTCGGACGCTCAACTGACTGAGCCACCAGGCGACTCTTACTTTTGAGATTTTAAAGTAATCTCTACACGCAGTGTGGGGCTTGAACTTACAACCCCAAGATCAAGAGTCACATGCTCTGGGGTGCCTGGGTGGTTCAGTCTGTTGAGTGTCCGACTCTTGATTTTGACTCAGGTCATGATTGCGCAGTTCATGAGATCGAGCCTGACATCTGGCTCTGCTGACAGTGTGGAGCTTGCTGGGGATTCTCTCTCTGCTCTCTGCCTCTCTCTCAAAAAAAAAAAAAAAAAAAAAAAAAACCAAGAAATCATGTGCTCCACCAGACTAACCCACTCAGGTGCCCTTCTTAGGCTTACCTCATGTGTATCCTACCATAACCCTGGAATCTGCCATTTCTCTGAAGAGTCCTGGTTCTGTTAGTGGGGAATGTCTTTAAAGAACAAAATCTAGATGCTCTATATCCTTGTTACCATGAGGTATCTTTGCTTTTAAGCTCTTTTAGCAGACAGAACTAGAAAATGTATGTTCATATGCAAAAACACCTGCATATACATACACAGATACATCTATATGCACACGTACATATTCACATGTGTGCATATTTTAGAAATCTTACACTGGTATTTCCAAATCCATTTAGTCCTTTATGACCTTCCTGTGCTCATTTTGACCTTTTTTTTTTTAACTTTATTTATTTTGAGAGAGAGAGACATAGCATACAAGAAGGGGAGGGGCAGAGAGAGAGGGAGAGAGAGAATCCCAAGCAGGTTCAGCGCTGTCCGTGCAGAGCCCCATGTGGAGCTCAAACCCACAAATCATGAGATCATGACCAAAATCAAGAGTCAGACACTTAACTGACCGAGCCACCCAGGCACTCTTCATGTGTTCATTTTTAAAGTAATCCTGTCTTCAATTAAGTATAGTTCTGGTCACCGAAGGAGAACTATAGCAGTGGCTCTACAAATGGGCAAAAAGATAAAAAACAAACAAAAAAAAAGTGGGCATCTATCATTGTTCTTGGAGAAGAGAGAAGACTTCCAAGAGAGAAAGCTTCTTCACATATACTCCTTTCTCAAGTTCCCCATCCTGTCCTGCCTTGGCCATTGGCCTTAGCCTTTGTCACTTCTTAACTAATCTCCTTCAGAGGAAGAGAAATACAAGGTAGAGTCAGACTGTCACACAGCTCAAAAAACTCAGCAGCTGGGCTTTTCCTGCCTGTGCCAACCTGACCTGCTCTGTTTTCCATCTTCATTTTACTTTCCTGTTCATCTATAAATCAGGGGGCTAATTCCATGGAGCTGAGTCCCCAAGTTTTATCTGTGAAGATGTGATCTGATTTTCCCCAAATCTGGAGATTATTATATATGGGATAAGAAGTAGAGAGTGTTGATGAAAATATAAGTTACTAACAGAGGCAGAGTAATGGGGTCTTTTGTCGCCAGAACCTGCTCCTTCTTCCCCTGCCCCCAGTACTCTGTTACCCACTAGCTTCACTCAAAAAGATCAGTCCAGAGACATCTGGGTGGCTCAGTCCGTTCAGTGTCTGACTCTTGAGTTCAGCTGAGGTCATGATCTCATGGTTTGTGAGTTCGAGTTCCACGTTGGCACGGAGCCTGCTTGGGATTCTCTCCCTCTCCCTCTCTCTCTGCTCCTCCCTCCCTCTGTTTCTCTCAAAATAAATAAATAAACTTGAAACAAAACCAGATCAGTCCACAGCCAACCTTTGTAATGCCATGGTAGTAACTTACCAAGTAAGGCTGTAAGAGCAGTTGTGAGGTTCTTTGGAAGCTTTTCTCAGGGAGTTTTCACTGAAACATATTTTCCCTTCTTTTGGGGTCCTACAGATTTGTCTTCCAAGGCAACAAGCACACCAAAGAAGAAAGCTGTTGTCCAGGCTAAGCTGACAGCCACTGGCCAGGTGACGTCTCCAGTGAAAGGTGCCTCATTTGTCACCAATACCAATCCTCGGAAATTTTCTGGTTTTGCAGGTGAGAGATTAGGGCTGCTTTAGCCATTATGGTTCTTTTAGTTTGGAATCCTATTTGGGATTCTGGCTAAGAGTGGAAGTTCTGTGCTATCTATCTGGCCTCCTTCAGAATTCGCTTTCCTCTGAGCAGAGGCAGGTAATGGCTAATTTTCAGCATTCCAGTTGTATAGCAAGCATTTCTTTGTGTATGTGAATCTCTGTGGCAGCCTAAAGAGGTTTTGTGTTGGCAGGACTTTTTGCCCTTGAAGTAGTCACCTGGGTCGGATGGAGATGATTATACCCTGCCCTAAAGCTTCCTTGTTTTTTGGTACTGAATGAAGTTTGAGAACTTGCATCCCTAATCTTGCCCAAACCGGAGCTGAAAGTATGGAAGAAGGGAGGTGGCATGTGTGTCCTGTGTAACAGGTAGCACTGGGCTAGGTAGGGACTCTTGCCCATGTAATTTGGTTTGTTCCTTCAGTTAACCTTACGAAGTACTTTTACGAGGCCTGTCTTATGAAAGAGAAAGCTGACATCCAGCGTTCATTATGGAATTAGTATTTACGCTAAAGTCTGTTTAACTCCAACGCCTGTGCTCTTTTCCCTGCACCCTGCTGCCTCTATCATTTGGAGACATTTCTGTGACTCAGGTAAAGAAAGTAAAGCCAAACACATGGCCTTAGAAGTTGTGTGCGGAGGTGGCTTTTTGTGAGTGAAAGAAGCGTAGGCTTCAAGTCAGAAGTCCCAGCATCTGACAGCTCGCTCAGGGGAGCACGTCGCTCTACCTCGGAGCTTCTGTGGCCTCATCTGTGAAGTGGGAACTGTAACACCTGCCTCGTTTACCACCCGGTATTCTCATGAGCACTAATGGAGAAAAGATTGCAAAAACAGTGCCTGATTCTGTGGGGGTTTTATTGTTTTAAAACTCTGAGGTTTGGTTTTTGTGTGGTGGTAGGCCAGAGACGGAAGTACAGAAGAGTTCAGGTAGCAATAAGGACAGCATGTTTCTGGAAGGGCCCTGGTCCTAGGGAGGGAAATTTGGGAGGAACTGAGAGGAATGGGGTGTTCTAAATTCTCGCATCCTGCTGAACGTCGACACTTTGGAGATTTTGTCCCCTATAATCCTCTTTAGACTCCGGGTCAGAGATGGGGATGGGTTCATAATTTACAAACCCCAGACAAGAGGAAGCTTACATCAGCAGTCTGCTAGCTAATGGATCTGCTGCAAGCTTGCAGAACAGAATTTGCTTTGTAAATAGCCACAAGGAAGTAAGAGAGGACCATTTGGGGATGTCTGGAGGAAAGTCTTGCTCATTTAGCCAAATACCTGTTATTTTGGCAAGAATAAAGAAGTGGTGATGGGCGGGTGGGAGTGGCGAAAGGCTGGAAACGCCTTCTCCCTGGTCTTGGGTTCCTCATCAGTATGAGGAGATTGAACTGGGTAATCTTTAAGGCGTCTTCCAGCCCCAACAGTCTGCGGTAGTGATGATTTCCCACTGACTAATATGTCACTTGGTTTCTTCTCCTGCTCTCCCTGCTTCTCTGGGGTCAGCTTTACCATTGCGGAGATCTGCTCTCGGCACAAAGGTGACCTATTCTGTGCGGCACTCATATAAACACATGCGCGTCAGCTGGGCACCTGCATGGGTGTGAGGCCAGTGTTTCTTTCCCATTAATAGCTGTGACGCCTGTTCTTTACCTGTAAGGTGGGAATAATGGTATCCCCCCCACAGGGCTATTTTGGGGGATTAAGTGAAGCTCCAGCAGATGGCTTGTCACTTTCCCTTTCTTCTTTCTCAGCAAGGCCAGTGAATCCTCCCTCATGTTTCTCCCTCCAACAGCCAAGCCCAACAACTCTGGGGAAGCCCGCTCAAGCCCTACCCCTAAGGCAAGCCTGTCCTCAAGCAGATGTGACCCCAAGCACAAGGATTGTCTGCTGCGTGAGTTTCGGAAGTTGTGTGCCATGGTGGCTGAAAATCCTAGCTACAACACGAAGACCCAGATCATACAGGACTTCCTTCGGAAAGGTTCAGCAGGAGGTGGGGCTTAGAACATCCTGGATGGGCATTTCCTTTGAAGAGCTCAGAGCCGTGACTGGTTTCGTGGGCATGTGAACTATACGGTTTCACGGGGGGAGAGGGGGAGCTTGCTTTGATGTAATCTTCTGTTAATACCATCTTGAAATTCTCTTTTTTTTCTTTAGATTTTTCATTTTTAAGTAACCTCTACACCCAACATGGGCTCAAACTCACAACCCTAAGATCAAGAGTTGCATGCTCTACCCACTGAGCCAGCCAGATGCCACTTGAAATTCTTAATAATTTTGAAGAATGAGCCCTGCATTTTTACTTCTTCTTTTTTTTAATGTTTATTTTTGACAGAGAGAGAGAGAGAGATCGTGAGCAGGGAGGGGCAGAGAGAGAGGGAGACACAGAATGTGAAGCAGGCTCCAGGCTCCAACCTGTCAGCACAGAGCCCAGTGCAGGGCTTGAACTCACAAGCTATGAGATCATGACCTGAGCTGAAGTCGGATGCTCAACCAGCTGAGCCCCCCCCAGGCACCCCCATTTTTACTTCTTACAGGCTCCACAGGGAGCACAGCCAGTTGTTCTTGGGGCACAGTGGCGTCACTCTTCTGCTGCCCTTATTTTATCCCCAGAAGGCCGGAAGGACCTATTGCATTTGACCAAGAGGAAAGTTCACTATCCTGCATGTTGGATAAGGTTTTTGTGAACGATTCATCTAACAAATGATCATTGAGCATCTGAATGTGCTCATCACTGGGGACACTAAAGCAAAACAGTGGCTCCGCCCTGTGGGAGTTCATCCGGGGAGGTAGATGCGTAAGCCACGAGCCACCAGATGCGGTAGCCTCTACCTCTGTGATGAAGTACACGGGGTATTGTGGCAGCACAGACAGCGATGTAGACATCTCTTTCAGTTCCTTGAGTTTATGTATGTGTTTGTTTAAGCTCCCATTTCTCAAGAAGGGTTCTATTCTTCTGCCTCCAGATGGTTTCCACGGTGACGTGTACCTAACAGTGAAGCTGCTGCTGCCAGGTGTTATTAAGAGTGTTTACAACTTGAACGATAAGCAGATTGTGAAGCTTTTCAGCCGCATTTTTAACTGCAACCCAGATGATATGGCACGAGACCTAGAGCAGGTCAGGGGAAGGGGAGGGTGGGCGGCGTTCCAGGTGGGGCTCTGCCAAGCTAGGCACCTGCAACCTCTTTTTTCTGGTTGGGGCATATACTGTTTTAGGAAACTGAAACCCATTTGAGCAAGCTTCCTTTTCGAGAGAGCTTCCTTTACTAGAGGCCACAGCCGTTAGTGTCACAAGGTTGAGGACGGAAATTGGACTGCGACCCCATGAGAGGCCTAGATCTCAGCGACGGGGTTTGAGACTTCCCACTGGCTCTCCTTGGGTTCTCATTCTGGGCCCTCCTTTTTCTTGTTTTTTTTTTCACCGTAACTTGGTATAACATTCAGCTTTTGTTTGTTCACAACTCCAGCTTTGGCAGCATAGAAAGTTTCTAACCGAGCGCTGCCCTTACCTGATGACCATATTTGTTTCTTGGTCCAAATTCTACCAGGAACCCAATTGGCTGCGTCCTGGATTAGTCCTTCCTTGCGTCACTTCTCAGCCAAGGCAGATGGCCAGATCCTAAGGCGGGTAGAGGTGCCCTTTCCAGGAACTGTGGGTGGGATAGAGTCTCCAAGAAGTGAGCCCAATATGTGCGAGCTGGGAATAGGAGTGATGATTGAAATCCCTGACTCACCTTTAGTGCTGGGGGGTTGGGAGATACGCTCGGCCACTCTGGGGTTGCAGCAGAGCCATTTTGGTTTTTGGAGACAGGGTGACGTGTCAGAGACGATCAGAGTCTTCTTTGAGCAGAGCAAGTCTTTCCCTCCAGCTGCCAAGAGCCTCCTCACCATCCAAGAGGTAGATGCGTTCCTCCTTCGCCTCTCCAAGCTCACCAAGGAGGATGAGCAACAGCAGGCCCTGCAGGACATCGCGTCCAGGTCGGGGGAGCTGCCTCGTGGGGCTGGGCGTGGGGAGATGCGATCGCCAGGAGAGGAGGCTTTGGGGGTCCACAGCTCTGCAGAGAGCAAGCTGAATGTGCCTCACCCCTAGGTGTACAGCCAACGACCTTAAGTGCATCATCAGATTGATCAAACATGACCTGAAGATGAACTCAGGTGCAAAACACGTGTAAGTCCCAGCCCCTCTGATGGCCTGAACTGCCAGCTTCCTTTGTTGCCAGCTGGGGTCAGGGCCTTGGAGTCCTGATCTAGATTTAAATCCTCATTCTGCCTTATTCCTTCGTGTGGGACCCATCACTAGACCTAGCTCAGCCTCCGTCTTCTCACGTAAGATGTAAGGATCCCCTTCTCACGCAGTTGTTAAAATGGAAAGTATGGAGCATGTTCAAAAAATAGAATATGAGTTCCTTGTCCGCCCCGGCCCCCTCTTTGCCATGGCAGCACCCATGGAGGCCCAGTATCTCAAAATGCTGAGTTTTCCAAGAGCTCGTTTTCCTGTGAAAGTCTTTAGACAATAGAGCGTCAGCTTCCCCTCTGTATTGAGATGCTCTCTCTCTGAGAACTGACTGCTATCTAAAGCAGTAAGGTCAGAGACGGTGGGTTTTGTTTCCTTGCTCCCATCTGCCTTGGCAGGTTAGATGCCCTTGACCCCAATGCCTATGAAGCCTTCAAAGCCTCACGCAACCTGCAGGACGTGGTGGAGCGAGTCCTCCGCAATGAGCAGGAGGTGGAGAAGGAGCCAGGCCGGAGACGAGCTCTGAGTGTCCAGGCTTCACTGATGACGCCAGTGCAGCCCATGCTGGTAAGGATGCTGCTCCGGCCCCACGTGCTCCAGATACTCCCCGTGCTTGTGAGATCTGCTAGGGTATGATGCTGGAGGGGTTTGGGGAGGGAACAGTGGAATTGCGGAGGGGTATGTTTCCGCGGGGAATTAGAGGTAACGGAGAAGGCGGCGTGATCTAGCAGAAATACCTGAATTCTAGGCCCGACTCTGCCAGCAAGCTGTAGAATCTTGAATGAGTTACTTGGCCCTTCTTAGTTTTTTCTTTCCCTCACACAAATGATGTATGAAATCTTCTGAAGCATCTACTTAGAATGGTTTGTCGGTCATCTTTCCTGAAAACAGGTGGATGTATTAAGTAACTCCTGAGATTCTGTGACCTACCCCAAAGTAGCTCTGAGACTTAGTGGCAGAGCCGAGCTGCTTATGACAGGGTGGCTTGGCCTCATATTCTTCTGGAAAACACAGCTCAAGGAATGAAGACCAGGTGTGACCGAGATCATCTTGAGCCTCTGTTCATTTCACGAGATGTGGGATTTCCTTTCTGGGATTGGTTTTTCTGTGCATCGGGCCCCTCCACATATGCTGCCGGGCCTACTATGCGGTCCCTGGGTTGCTCCAGCCGGTGCAGTGCCTTTTGTGAACCTGCCTCGTGTGTGCTGCTAACGCCTTCGCAGAAGTGTTCTCTCCCTCCCGGGAATGTGGGATGGCCAGCTCCAAATTTGTGAGCTCACCATCCCGGGGACAGGACTCTTGTCACCGGCAGTAGTGGCCTTTCTGACTTTTATAAGAGTTCTGTCCAGAGTCTGTTGTACAACTTGTCACTTATTTGAAGAGTGGCATGGGTTCTATAGCTTAGTGCTTAACCCCACAGGCTTTGGAGTTGGGGCTAGCTGCAAACACCAGCCCTGCCATTGACCAGCTATATAGCTTTAAGGAAGGACTCAACCTCTTTGAACGTCTTGTTTTCTCAACCATGAAGCTAAGACAGCGTCCCTCATGTAAGATAGCACATGGAGGGTGTGGCGGGGCTATGTCTGATCTATACCCGTGAATAGCCCCAGAATGGTAGTCAGTCAGTCAGTGTCGTGTGAGGCAGGGTGGCCCTGGTATGTGAGGAAGCACTCCTGTGACTTGTCCTGACCGCTGTCCCTGACCGCTGCCACCCTGCCAGCCCCTGTCAACGTTCTGCATCCCTTATCTTACCTCTGCGTACCTCCTTTGCTGACCGGTGTGTTTAACAATAAGCCAAGACCCTGCAAGATCTTAAATTATTGAGAAGAAAATGAAATGCTGTTTCAGCGGAAGTTTATTACTCTTTTAAAATGAATCACATTCGTAGTCTTCAAAAGGCAAGCTCCGTGCCAGCCCTGAGGGCATCCTCCGGTCCTCACTCCCCGGGACCTGGACTCTGGGGCTGTCCCTGCTGAGCAGCCCCCAGTGGGAGAGCACCTGTAAGTCTCCAGGCTTGTCTTTCCTCACCCCAAGGCCGAGGCCTGCAAGTCCATCGAACATGCGATGAAGAAGTGTCCTAATGGCATGTTCTCTGAGATCAAGTATGACGGGGAGCGAGTCCAGGTGCATAAGAACGGAGACCACTTCAGCTACTTCAGCCGCAGCCTCAAGCCCGTCCTGCCTCACAAGGTATAGGTTCCTTCTTTTCTGCCGGGACTTTCTTAACCTTCCTGCCTCTAAGACTCTCAGGGGCAGGGTTCCATAGTCATTTCAGCTCTGGTACCCAACAGGGGTTTTCTCATATCTGTTGAATGAACGTGTGTTTGTTTTTGGAGTCTCATTAACGAGGGGCTGCCCAGTAGGGACAGCCAAAGAGCCCAGACTTGGGTAAGTCAGCAGAGCCCCAGGGGACAGCGATACTCCCCTTGCCCACTGTGACACTGAGACAGTGAGCTCACCTTGCAAGTGACTTGCAGTGCTTGTCTCTTACGTTTCCATGCCCGTGTGCTTCTCAGAGCTAAATTACAGGTCGGGTACAAAAGGCTGTGGAACTGTCGTTCATGAGTTTGGTAAATATTTATCGAGTGTTTTGTCTGTGCTGAGCACTGTTCCAGGTAGTGGGTGTACAGCAGTAAAAAAATGGGCAAAGGTTCTTGCCCCCTGGAGGCTTACATGCTGACGGAAACAGTCCAGTGGGGACATCTGGGAGCCCAGACTCCTGTCCTTCAGTCAGGGGCGTTAAGAACCTCACCCCTCAGTCCTTCTCAGCACCAGGGCCTCTGTGAGCCTTGGGGCTCTCTTCAGGGGAAAGCACCTGGAACATCTGGCCCCAGGAGCTTGTGAGTAGATGGACTTCCTGTCCTTGCTACCCGTTCTCTCCTTGCTCAGACTCCATTTTTCAGAGCTCCGGGGGTGAAGGGGACCTGTTGGGTGGCTCCCGTGCTCCCCTCCCCTTGCCTTCCTGCTAGAGCCCTGAGCCTCGGGCTGTTCATTTCAGATGTCCAGAGGAGAGCTCAGCACTGCCCTCCCTGGGGAGATGAGCGCAGGCTCACTGGCGTGGTCGGACCCAGTAAAGCCGCCGAGGAACTGTTCCCAGGGAGCAGCTGCTCAGTGGGCACCTCTGTTACCCAGGAAGAAGTTCGAGCCTGGCTTTTCGGAGTGTAGAGCCCTTTCCAAAGCTTCATTCGTTCCTTGTCTCTCCTGTACTTCGGGTTTGTGGAGAGTGGATTGGGGATTGAAGTAGAGCAGGACAGGTGTACAGGCCTCTCCTGTCCCAGCTTCCAGCCCCATAGGTAGCAAGGGCCTGCGTGCCCGGCCCAGGGGAGGAATCAGGCCGCAGTCACGCTCTCTGGACCTCACTGCTGGCATCACTTGGCAGGGGCTAGCAAGGGTGGGACTCCTCCCTCTCTGGAACTATCAGAGACTAGGTTTCTACCTCTATCAGGAAAAACTCTAATTCCAAACATCCTTTCTTACTCATTTTGAAGATGGTTGTGGATTTCAAGCTCTCAGAGAAGACCCTCCTGTTTCCTCGCTGCTCCTAAGAGGGTTCATTTCTTCCTTTCCATCCACCTCTTTGTAGCTGACCTGTTCTCCCCACAAGTGTCTGCCTGGCCGCACTCCCTCCTCTCATGTTTGTCCACCCCCACCTGCTCCTGCGCATACTCCACGCCCTTTTTCTTCCTTTTTCCTCCAAACTCTCCATGGCTCAGGGGACTCAACCCAGGCCCACCTCTTCCTGGGTCCGAAATACCCATTCGTCTGGTCTCAATGGCTGGTAAGGCTTAGGTCTGTTTTGCACATGAGTTTGGCTCCCCGTGTTGATGTTCTGCGTTCCTTTTGGGGCCTGGGTTTTGCTTTCTGGCTCGGCTGTAGGTCACTGCTGCCCGTTCCTCTGTCCCTTACCTAAGTCACCCTTTTGCCTCCAGGTGGCCCACTTTAAGGACTATATCCCCCAGGCTTTCCCTGGGGGCCACAGCATGATCTTGGACTCTGAGGTGCTCCTGATCGACACTAAGACAGGCAAACCGTTGCCCTTTGGGACTCTTGGGGTGCACAAGGTACTGGCTCAGGGCCACACATGTGGGAAGGAGCATGTGTGCGCATGTGGACGTGGACGTATGCGTGCTGTTGGTCTGAATGGAGGGGAATCTGTCACTCACTCAAGGTTAGGCTTATTCTTTGTTTCTGAACTATTTCTGAATGTAGCCCTGAGTTTAGATGTGTTTTTTTTGTTTTTTACATAAAAGGAGCTAGTACAGGGAACTTAGAATTGGGTTGATTTCCATTTAGGACCATGTGCTAAGTGCCCTTGTGGCCCAGGGCTTCAGAGCATGTCAAGACTTTTCTGTCCAGTGCTTTAGAGGGTCTCCAGAAGTGGATTGGGACTCCCCATTTTTTCTGCCCTCTTGTTTTTGTCCCTCATGTATCTCCTATCTCATTTTTCTTTACAGAAAGCTGCCTTCCAGGATGCTAACGTCTGCCTGTTTGTTTTTGATTGTATCTACTTCAATGACATCAGCTTGATGGACAGGTGAGGGAGCTCTTTTTGGCTCCTGAGTAGGGAGGCAAGGGCTCGCTCACCTTGGGAAGGAGGGAGGGGAAAGGGGCTGGAGCCTGTGCCTCTTTGTACCCAGAGCTGGGGAGGAGGGAGCTAAGAAGTAGCACACTTGCTACACGCACAGTGCTCCACGAAGCAGAAACGGGACCTGCGAGGGCCAAGTGGCTTTTGTGCCGCAGCTCGGTCACGAGAGAGGCTTTGAGCCATGGCAGTCCCTCTCGCGAAGCAGCAGTTCGTCGCTGAATCCCTCTCTCCTCAGAACTCCTGATGGGGGTCGGAGGACCCTGACCTCAGCTCTCTCATCCCCCTTAGGCCTCTGTGTGAGCGGCGGAAGTTTCTTCATGATAACATGGTTGAAATTCCCAACCGGATCATGTTCTCAGAAATGAAGCAAGTCACTGTGAGCAAAGACCACACCCCAGACAGCCGCCTAGTGGTTTGAAAGGGCACACAGCCCCTTGGTCAGATGTGACTGGGAGAACGAGTCTTAGTTGTCTTATGGGGGCTGCCGACGTGTGTATGTCGTCCACTAGTCACCCCCGGGAGGACAGGGCATGAAACACTCTTCTGCGACGGGCTCCCCATGTCTCACAGCCGCAGTAGCTTTCTGGTTGGGAGAATCCCTGCTTTGCAAGACCTTGGTTTGTCGTACTCAAGTCGGGGTGTTTCCACTGGGCCCCGCACCAGTGTGCGAAAGGGAACCGCGGCCACCTCCCCGCCACAGCAGTGTCTGTTCTCACGCCAACCTCAGCATCTCTCTGTTATCCTTCAGAAAGCTTCGGACTTGGCCGACATGATAAACCGGGTCATCCGAGAGGGGTTGGAAGGGCTGGTGCTGAAGGACGTGAAGGTGAGCCACTCAGCCACTCACACCCTCGGCCTTCTCTCTCCTGCGGGCCCCCCCACCCACCCGGTCTCTCCAGCCCCGGCCAGCAGAGGGCGGTGTCAGCCTGAGGTGGCCGGGGCTGGCTGCAGCAGGGCCCTTTCCAGGGTCCGCACATCTCCGTTCTGTGTCTAGAGGATGGGTTTGTGTATGTTTCCTGGGCCGCGAGCTGGGGGGTCTTGGCCAGAGTGGGCCGGGCACTGTGGTAGAGCCGAAATGTCAAAGGAAGAGGTAAATCCCACCCTTCTGCGGGTTCCATTCTAGTTTGAATCTTTCTTGCTTTTTCCTCTCAGGGTACATATGAGCCTGGAAAGCGGCACTGGCTGAAAGTCAAGAAAGACTATTTGAATGAGGGGGCCATGGCTGACACAGCTGACCTGGTGGTCCTTGGGGCCTTCTATGGGCAAGGGAGCAAAGGTCAGGGAGGCCTCTGGATGGGACTTCTTTGACAGGCACCACTCAGGGTGTAGGCTGGCCTTTTTGCTGGCTTAATCTACCAGCACGGCCCATCATGACTTCCACGGTTCTGGGATCAAGGGCCCCAGACTGACCCGTGTCACCTCAGGTGGGGACATCTATGTGAGAGCTATAGACTTGGGCAGGGAGAGGTCAGGCAAGAGTACCCTATGCTACCTGGCATTAAGAAGCTCACCATCAACTACTTCCTCGGGGCCTGGCCACTTTCTACTCAGAGAAAAATCTCAAAATCTCCTGACTGGAGGGGAAGTTGGGGTCTGAGGAATGAATCTACTATGTGCCAGACACTGTTCAAGTTGCTTTACTCACCGGAATCTGACAAATTCTCTATGATTGTCCCTAATTGACTAAAGAGGAAATTGGGACTCATAAAGGTTTAACTTGTGTGGCTAGTAAGAGGTAGAGGAGGTAGATCCAGGAGGGGCACTCGGCGCTCTGATGCCTGGGCCCAGGGCTTTCCCCTCCAGCAGGCTGCCCCTCACTGGGCACGTGGGGCTGACAGCAACGGCTCCCTCCATCCGCAACTTAACTCGCCGCCCCCCCTCAGGTGGCATGATGTCCATCTTCCTCATGGGCTGCTATGACCCAGGCAGCCAAAAGTGGTGCACGGTCACCAAGTGTTCGGGAGGCCATGATGATGCGACGCTTGCCCGCCTGCAGAAGGAACTGGACATGGTGAAGATCAGTAAGGTGAGGAAGGGACCTGTTTGGCCTGGGCCTCTGGACTGGCCGTCGTCACTGAGACTGTGCTTGGGGGACTGCGGGGATCGTTGATCTGTCTCCACAGAGAGTTGCTGATTGGCCATGGGAGCAGCATTAGGCCTTCAGAGTCTTTGAGTGCCAACCTTGTGCAGACCGGCCCGCCTGCTCCCTGGGCCAAACTCTCTCTGGGCAGGGAGGATCCCCTGGGGTGAGGGTCAGCCTTTTGTAAACAGTCATCTCCTTGCACAAGCCTGTGACTGGGGAGGGGAGTAGCATCTGCTTCTTGTTTTGGCGTGGGAACAGCCCAGCACAGCGTCTTTTGTCTTCCAGGATCCCAGCAAGATACCCAGCTGGCTGAAAATCAACAAGATCTACTACCCGGACTTCATAGTTCCAGACCCAAAGGTATCAGCCCAGTGGCCCGAGGCCCTCCAGCCCACAGAACAAGCTTGCAGATTCCGTAGGGCCACAGAGATGCCGTTTCAACCTCACGGACAGCCCACCTGAGGATGGGGGTCTAGACCGGGCAGCCAAGTGATGGGCCAGTCGGCTCTGAGGAATCCTCAATAGAGGGAGGATGACACTGACCATCCCCTAGACACAGAGGGTTTGCTCGAAGTGACCGGGCCCGGTTCCTTCTGTGCACTGACCGAGAAATTGAGACCCCGGAGGAGAGCCAGAACTTCCCTAAGGTCACATAGCGTCAGCAGCGCCTGTTAGCCAGTGCTTTTTGGTTTTAACGGGTCTGTGTTGCTTCTAGCTGGTTGGGAGAGGCTTCCCTGCTTCACCAGCGAGTGACCTGACTTAACCCCTGACAGAAAGCTGCCGTGTGGGAGATCACAGGGGCTGAGTTCTCCAAATCTGAGGCTCACACGGCCGACGGAATCTCCATCCGATTCCCTCGTTGCACCCGGATCCGTGATGATAAGGACTGGAAATCTGCCACTGACCTCCCCAAACTCAAGGTGCCTGCTTACGCTGCATGTGTGTCCTCTGCCCTGCTGTCCTGGCCTGGCACCCCAGCTGTCTGGCCCGCTCACATGTTCTCTCTCCCCTGAGACCAGGAGGGCAGTGGAGGGAGACCACCTGTCACAGGGCCAGGAGCTGCAGCACCCCGAGGGAGAATGCCGTGCTGCTCTCCCGCTTCCTGCTCGGGGGCTGGCCCCAGGCTGTGGTCTGTGCTGCTGAGAAGAACCGGGGGACAGAAAACAGTGATTTGTACCGACTCCCTAAGAGACAGGGACGGAGTTTAGAAAAGCACTGAGGGGCACCTAGGTGGCTCAGTCGGTTGAGCGGTCGACTCTTGATTTTGGCTCAGGTCGTGATCTCTCGGTTCGTGGGATCGGATCCTGCACTGGGCTCTGTGCTAACAGCGGGGAGCCTGCTTGGGATTCTCTTTGTCCCTCCCTCCCTCTCTAAATAAATAAACTTAAAAACATACACACACACACACACACACACCAAGAAAGCCAGCTGCTTTTTTCCCTGCCATTTATTTGTCTGTCTCCCCTCTTTGTTCCTTAGCCACACGGACCTAAGACACACCTCAGAGGCCAGTGGCTGGGAAGGTAAGGGAAGGATCACACCTGATATTCTCCGTGCCTCTCCTCAGGAACTGTACCAGCTGTCCAAGGAGAGGGCAGACTTCACTGTGGCAGCCGGAGACGAGGGGAGCTCCACTACTGGGGGCAGCAGCGGAGAGAACGAGGTTACCTCGCGGCCTGCCTCCAGGGCCTCCCCGAAGCAGCCCTCCACCAGTGCCAAGAAGGCAGGAGGGAGGCGGAGCAGCCCCGACAGCCGAGGTGGTAAGAAGGGAGGGGCTGCGGCGATGAGTGTGGTATGAAGGCAGACATCAAAGGACAGGGACCTGGTCTGACATTCCGGCTCTGAGATCATGTGATTCTCTGCATCCGCCGTGACAGACGTTGACCGTGTTCCTGTTGTGTGTCCAGCCGCGGGCCAGAAGCCATTCTCCTGGGCCCCCTCCATCTGCTCAGTAAACCTGAGTGACGGGACCCCGGGAGAGCCCACCTGACCTTTGGATAAGCCCCCTCTGAGCTCCCCTCCCGTTTCAGCCGTGCTCCTAGGAGAGCCAGGGCCTGGCCCTTCTGCGTGCTGCCCTGACCTCCGGGGTCCGTGTCCGCTCCCCTCCCCACCGCCTAGTTCTCACCCCGAGCTCTCCCGCAGGTAGCAAGCACACAGCGAAGCCTCCCCCCGTGAGAGTGGGAGAGAAGCGCAAGGCTCCCGACGAGCCCCCGGGCCAAGCAAAGGTGAGGGGAAAAATGGCGGGGTACCCGCGGCCGGCTTGGCCCAGGGCTGTGCGTTCCCGATCCTGCACTGGAACACGGAGAGACGAGCGATGTCTGGGGACTGATGGCCAGACACGCACCCCACCCCGCCGCGGCTGCCAGCACCGCTGCTCCACCCTGTGCCCTCTCGTTGCCTTGCAGAGGCGGCCGGCCAGCCAGCAGAGAGGAAGGAGAGCTGTGTCCACAGGCAGGAGATAGAACAGCCGGGCCTCGCTGAGAGGCTGCAGGGACCCATCGGGCTGCCGCTCCCAAGTCACAATTTACATTAAAGAAAGGGGAGGAAGCCCAGTCTGGGTGGAGTGCGGCTGGCCGTGTGAGTCTGTGCTGTCTGTGCTCGGGGCCAGAGCAGACTGAGCCCACGAGGAGCGGAGTGGGGAGAGGGCGCTGGCTTGGTGATTGTCCCCCAGAGAGCCCTTCGCCTTTTGTAGCCCCTTCTCGGTCGTTGGTTTGACAACAGCTATTGAGCACCTACTGAGGCCAGTGATTAGGCTGGCCCAGGGGGGACGTGGGAAGTAAACACCCGATCTCTGTACCGTGTGACGGAGCCACACAGTCCTCCCCGCTAGCCAAAGCAAGCACCGAAGTTTGGCAAGTCAGGCCCCGAGCCCCGTCCCCGGCACACGTGTAGAACCGTTCCTGTCTTTTCCCTGCGCGAAGCCCTTGAATCCGTTCACGGCCGAGGAGGGCTCCTGACCCCGCAGCCTAGCTAGTTGGGCACCGTGGACTGCTCGATCAGCCGGCATCCCGGAGTCCAAGAGCCACTAGTCCCGCCTGCCGGATGGTTCTCAGACACATGTACTTCCCCCTTCTCCAGGTCCCCGCATAGGGACCCACCCTGTCTTCCTCCTTTCCCTCTAGGCAGGGAGGGAGGGGGGTGCTTCCTCTAGAGTGGCTGGAGGACATGGGTTTCAGTGCCTGTTCCTTTTCTCCACTAAACTCTCCGTGCTGGTGTCCTGACCACTAGGCTTCATCTCTGGCTCTTGTTGTGTCTCAAGTCCCCTTAGTATCTGGCCTGTGCTCGTCTCTGTGGAGGCCCATCGGTCCCACTGCTGACCGCACTGACCCCTGTGCGTTTGCAGGTGCTGCTGGACATCTTCACTGGGGTGCGGCTCTACCTGCCACCCTCCACGCCGGACTTCAGCCGTCTCAGACGCTACTTTGTGGCATTCGATGGGGACCTGGTGCAGGAATTTGACATGGCTTCGGCCACGCACGTGCTGGGGAGCAGGGACGAGAACCCTGAGGCCCAGCAGGTCTCCCCGGAGTGGATCTGGGCGTGTATCCGGAAACGGAGGCTGGTAGCTCCCTGCTAGGACCGCGGCCCTCCGTCTCCCTTGGCCGCACTCTTCTGCCTCCCCACAGGCCTGTGCTCCTGCTGGGCAGGCAGGCGGCCCCAGGAACCAGGGCAGGCGGGTGGCATTTCTTCTCCAAGCGGTGCATTTTCAGAACACGCCAGCCATGCTTGGTCTCTTCCCGACCAGGATGGACTTGCTGTGGGCACCCCTCCAGGGAAATCACTTTCTCCTGCTGGTTTACATAGATCTTTCAGATCTGGGTGCTGGTTTGGTTGTCTTTGTTTTCTTTCAAAAGCAGCTTCCCCACGCCCCCCCCCCCATAAATAAAATCTCTTGCAGTTATCCCTGGCCTTGCCCCCCGTCCCCTGTAACTTCCCTAGCGATTAAGGCTATTGAAGGCTGTCCACAAAGCCACTTGCCCCTTTTACTTGCAGGCTCCTTTTAAAAGTTGCATTTAAAAGACTGCCTTCGGAAACGCTTCTTCTACTTGGCGGAACTTGTATTCAACTTGGCCCTTTTTGCCAGGAATGAATCCTTATTTGAAAGAAAACAAAATGAATTTTATGACTTAATTCTCTGTGTTCTCCTCTTCCAGGGTATGGGTCCTGGTTTGAAGGGAGGGCACCAGGATCAGGTAGGAAAATGGGGCCTTTCTACAGAAGCCAGGTTGTGTGAGCTACTCCTCTGGGGGACATAGGGCTCCAGGAGGATCTGCCTCCTCCAAATCTGGAAGCAAGACTGGTTTTGAGAGTCAGAAATCCACCCGAGGACAAAACCTACACAGCGTCCTTACCAAGAAAGGCTCCTGCGCCACTGAGGCTGGCTTCTTTGAATAAAAGGAAAACAATTCAGTGTAGTGGAGTGCTGTTCAGTAGAACTTTCTCTGGCAATGGAAATACCCTGTAAATCTTCACTAGCCAAAATAAATTAGGCACACTTAGCCAAGGAGCTCTTGGAATGTGGCTAACACAACTGAGGAACTGAAGTTTTCATTTTAATTCAACTTTAAATGGTCCCAAGTGGCTAATAACTACCACATTGGACAGTGCAGGGATGGGCCTGGTTCAGATCCAAGCCGAGACTCCGAGGCTGTGACGTCTGAGCCTCGCTTCCTCCCAGAGGAGTGAGGAGAGGACTTGTGCCTGTGTCCTTAGGCTGCTGCAAAGAGTAAACAGATCCAGGATAACCTGTGTGAAGCACTCAGCACAGCGCCCAGTCCACAGTTTTCTGGAGCAGGGACTACACACGTGCCCACTCCCTGCCTGGGACCTGGGAGAGGGCGCCCCAGCCCCTGACTTCCCAGCTCTGGTCACACCACTCCCACAGCCTTGGGTCTGTGTGCAGCTCATGCTCTGGGCTGGCGCAGGTTCATCAGGCTGCCCTCTCCTTACAGACCAGCTTCCACGTTTTCCATTCTGCAGACTCCAGAGAGTGAGTTTTTTTGTCTTACTATCAACAGGTCATCAGGCTTGTTTGTCCATCTCCTGAGTTAAGTTCATGAGCCTCAACCTCTGGAACATGCTGGAGTGTCTGAGTCTCTAAGATTGAGGACCACTGCCTCCCCCAGACCCCCTCCAGTGTGTTCAACTAAGGTGATACTCCGCTGGGAGGCTGCTTGCCAGTCGGCCTGGAGGCCAGCTCTAACCTCGTCTGGGTGTCTACCTGCTGGTTCAAGTGTGTTGGGAGGAAGGGACAGGAGGGGTTGGTACCACCCTGACTCTAGTCCAGCACACTGGTGTTTCTGAATAGGCACCATTCAGTCTCACATCAGTATTGAGAATAAGACTCTCTTTATTCTGTCCTTTGTGGAGACAAAAGCTGCTGCTCCTTTGAGCGCTGACCTACATAAATTTCCACCCCCTTCTCCAGCCTCCTCGGGCCAAGCAGCCAGACAGGGCAGCAGAACAAAGTGTGCCCCTTGGGATTCTGCCAAAGGACACTGTCACTGCCCTTTGGCCCAGCTGACTTAGACCCAACCTACCTGCCCTTACCAGTCACTTAGACTCCAGGTGTGCCCTCATGGCAGAGGGGCCCTGCCAGCCACAGGGGATCATCTTAGTAATGAGCCTGGCCCTTTTTGGCCCTTCCCGGTCTTGCTGGGTGTTCTTTCAGTTCGCTGTTCAAGGTACTATGTCTGTTTCCTTCTAGTCTCTCTCCTGCGTGTTTTTTTTTTCTGCCGCTGAGATTATACTGTCTACACAGCTTCGCATTTCCCAGACCCTGGGCAACATCATCTTACACCTCCCCAGCACAGTGCTGGAGGCCTGCCCTCCTTGGAGACTGTTTACATGCTGCTGGTTGGCAGCGTACAGGAGGTTGTCCTGGGTGCTCAGCAAGCCAGTCCCCCAGAATAAGGAGGACAGCTGCAGCTCAGCCTCCGGCCTTTACATCCGCCAGGCAAGATTGCTTCCTCGAGTCCCAGGGTAGATGTGCACGGAATCTAGCTCTCCCCACACAGGCCTGTGTGCACACAGCCATCTGCCCACGAGGCTCAGTGACCTCTGAGCCTTAACTACTACAGCTGTATCCAAAAACTACCTTCTGTCTCCCAGGGTCACCTGAAGTCTTGACTGGGCACACTGGCTGTCCTCAGATTCCTTTCTGCCCACATCTTCGAGGCCCATCTCTATGAGATCAGTGTCAAGTGTCTGAACTCAGTTGGTGTTTCTTGCTATTTAGTCTTAAGGCTGGTTCTTTTGCTACGCAGCTCCCGTCCTCTCGTAGGCTGTTCCGTGGCTTCTCCCATACTCTAGCTGTGAGACCTTGAACAAGTCAAAACAGCACCAAACTTCAGTTTCCTCATCTGTTGAACAGGAATATCAATAAGGCCACAGTGGCCCAAGCATCTCCACAAATAATGCAGTCTCTCAAGAGCATGCCTGTGTGCACACAGCCTGGGATTAGCCTGTGGTGTATCAACTCTCTTGTCAGTCTTAACTCTCAGACCTCTGGTGTTCTCCCACCAGATGAGACAGGCTTCTATAGTGAATTTTATTACAAAATTATAAAGCAGAGCTCTGTAACAAAAAATACACATTTGGGTTTGCTTTAACACCCAAGTAATTCTGAAGACTCTTAATATAAGCCACTTGAAGTAACACATTCACGTCCCCAAGATTTCAACCAATTTATACAATATATATTGTGCATGAATTCCTGTACAGCTTATTCTTACTAGCTTGGATCCAACTATTCCAATATACTATGAACCAGTCAGCTCTCCTAAGTCTTGAAACAAGTCTCAAATGAAATCTCAGAACAATCACAGCAAAAGCCATGGAATAACTGGAAGAATTAGAGGTTTTCATGATAATTAAGACCCAAGGATCCATGAGGGGTGGGGGCGGGGGCGGGGGGCGGTGGTTACTCAGAAAAATCAGGTTTTCTACCTAGATTAGATAGTAACTGAAATGGGATCTTGAATTCCCAGCCTTTATTTGGTATGATAATGATGGATGACGACAAATCGGGGTGGTTTGACACCATTTTTCCTGAATGAAAACCTTCGTCAAAATAGATCAAAAGACTCCAAGGCAAATTCTTTCTCCAGAATGAAACGATACCAGTTATAATTCTTACTGAGGTTACTAACCTTCAGGATATTATTCGTAACTTCTGTCTAGGAGAGGGACTGTGGGAGGTGGGGAGAGGGAAGGCCTCAGCAGTGAAAGCAAGTTTTAGGGAGAGAGCCAGCATCTGCCCTGAAGTTATTGCTAGATCTTAACTGAGTTGCATAAATATAGACCTGTTTCACAGTGGAATCGAGAAGTGGTGGAATTCTCTGCCAAACTGGTACGCATTGTAAACCATAATATTTACTGTCCAGCAGAAAGGTCAAAGGTCCTCTCACTGACCTCTTGATTCCCCCAATTCCTACAAAGGCTGAGTCCCAGAATCCAGTCATCCAGGGCTTGGTGTAATGTCAAGGTAAGTGGCCCAGTGGTTCAACTGGCAACCACCTTATGCAATCATTTCACTCCTCTCAAGGGGAATAGTGGTTGATGATGGGGGAAAGCCTAAGCACATCTGTACCGATAAACAGGTCCCCTTGGAGTTTCCCACTGTCTTCCAAAGTCATGCTAGGTTCCAGTCTGAGAGAACGTGACTGTTCGGCAGGGGAGTAGGGTGGGGGCGGTGGTCTGCCAAGGCCCTCGGTGTCTAGGGTTTGTGTAGTTCATCCATTGGTGATGGCCGCACACAAGGCTCTTCGATAGCATGTGTGTGGGTTCTTGACTAAGCTGCTCCAGCAAACCTAAGCCCTTTGGCTCTCCCAGTGGTAGAACAACCCTAAAAGGGCTCAAGAATCCTCTAGCTCAATGTATGGTCTTTCTAAAGGACCTTGAGAATGCTTCTTCCTGACCTGCCCTCAAGTCAGTGTTCTGAGAAAGGAAATGGGAGTAGAGAGTCCCCACCAACCTGGGGAATTAAGACTTGCAGCTGTCTGCTCAACAGCTGACTCCAGTCTCATTCGGTACCTTCAGATACCCCTCGGGTGTTGAGGTTTGGTCTCCAGGAACTTCAGGAGAAGTGTGGCTAGAGGAGGGCAAGGCTCTCTGCCTTCAGTGAGACCATGGAAAAGAGTGGGACTTCATTCTCAGAGGAAAGTGGTTTGCTATTCCTGTCTGCTGGAGAAGTCAAAGTTAAGCAGAAAGCCCCTGCCTCCACCCAACACTTTCCCTTCTCTCAAGCTAACAGGGATGGCGTGCGGGCCCTAGAGAAGCAGAGAGGCTGTGCGAGCCGTCTCACGCAAATGGACTCAAACTTCCCAGCAGTTTGGGAGCCGGGGTTGGGGTCAGGAGACTCATCGCTTCCAGTCCCAGCACTTAAGGAAGCAACTCTTCATGACTTTGAAATTTTTCAGTAGCAGTTGAGTTTTGTTTCTCACCAGAGCTAAGTTTACTGGTCCAAATTCAGTCCCAAGGAGGATCACTCTCGGTCTGGTAAGCTAACATCTTTTTGGTCTGAAGAAACAAATGGATTTTAGGCAATGTAGCCAGAGACGTTAGCAAAGGTAGGTTAAAGCACAGAAAGCCAGAGCAGAAATAAATCCAGATGTGCTGGGGAGGAAGAGAACCATTTCTACCAGGACTTCTGACCGGTGAAGGCCAGAGGCAGGGAGCTCAGAAGGACGGGTGGGGTACACAAGGGTGAAACTGTTAGGCTTTCGGAGGAAAGGAGGAAGATGCGGTCCAAGTTCTGGCAAGTCCTCTCTTCATCAGGTGCCATCATTACCCCAAGATCACTGAGATAGGGACTTGCCCGTGCAGTCTGTTCCGGTTTCCACCGGCCTCCGACGCTGCCAGCCAAGAGGTGCGCCTCCGCGGCAGGACAGGCATGCCCAGAGGTGACAGCATCCTTGCTTGCCCCGGTCTTACGAGCACTGCAGATTTTCTTGTTAGCCTGCCCCTCCGCGAGCTGCCCAGTCTGGAGCCCAGACACCTCAAGCTACGTCCCCATAAGGCACTGAAGAAGCCGGTGCAAGCCCTCACGATCGGAAGACGTGCACGGCTCGGATCACGTACTGCCGGCAGATGGGACACTCGTTCATGCGCTTGCCGCACTTGGTGCAGGTCACCATGTGGCCGCACTCC